TACGATACAACACACTTAAGCTACAAACTCAAGACAAAAAAAAAAAAGACCGTAAAAATATTAATAGGAAAAGGCTAAAGAGAGAAACAGATAGCAGAGTTTTTCAAAAGATTATGACTTCTGTTAAGTGTTTCTGTTAAGAGATGTTCTTCTCTTCAGTGTATTTTTATCTCAAGCCAAATGAAAAAGCAGCTGGTAGTGCCAGTTATGCTTCTCTGAGGGGTGGGGAGGAGGGGGACACACTCAACACAAACGCACACTCCTCCCAGAACCTCCTCAGCATTTGCTGTAACAACACAGAAATTTCAACACCAGAAGCACTTTCTCTGGGGGCAGTGCATGGGGAATCAACATCAGCATTTCATCCCTCTTCATTAATTATAAGCTAAATTTGGGGCATGGCAGTAAATGGTTATTCCTACCTCAAGAGAAAAGGGGGATCTCAACACCACAAGACTGCTGCTGACAGCAAGGAAGTGAAGGCAGACCTCAAGACTCACACTTTTCCATCTGATTTCTAATGCAGGTAAAGTAAAGGCCTCAGATACTGCTTTGGCAGAGGTTGTGAATGAGGACAGAAGTATTTTACAGCAATCAGTGTTTTCAAAGAAAAATTCAGATTGACAACAAAGCAGCCCTTCTCACTCAGCTTTGAGATGTCTGCCATGAAAGGGTAAGTCTCACTGCCCCGATCTGATATACAAAAATCCAAGCCTGTTTTATGTTTTCTGACTACTCAATTTTATATTTTCTTCACAGGTAAACTAAACACTACCATTACAGAAGTGACATAAACAATGAATGAAAAGTGACAGCAGAGAGAAAAACTACTGGTGGCAAAAGGAAAGTAAGCAGCTCATCATTTCCTTTTTCACCATCCAGAAATAATAACTCTTAAGCACTTTAAATCTCAGTTCAAACTGATCATTACAATTGGCAGTACAATTAATTTAATTCATTTACTCATATTTAAAGAGTGAAGGTGTCTGGCTTCTTCTAGTGGTCCATATTTTTATGGTTATTTTAAGATCTGATTTGATTCCTAAACTCAATAATTATATATAGTTGTAACTCGATATTACACACATTTCCCTGTACTTTGTTGCAGGTGCTTAACTAATGCAGGAAGATCACAAAAACCCAATAACCCCAAACAAAGAGAGAGAATCAGATTCAGCAATTTTTAAAATTCTTTTGAAACTATGCTGTGCTAATACACTATGCTAATTGCTACCCATCAAATTTCTGTCAGAGGGAAAATTGTTTAAAAGCAATGCACTCCAAAAAAAAGCCCAAACATGGTAGGGCTGAAACTTAACCCTTTGACAGAAGCCTTGCTAACAAGGGAGTGATAGTTGTAACTCGATATTACACACACATTCTCCTGTACTTTGTTACAGGTGCTTAACTAATGCAGGAAGATCACAATATAGTTGTAACTCGATATTACACACATTTCCCTGTACTTTGTTGCAGGTGCTTAACTAATGCAGGAAGATCACAAAAACCCAATAACCCCAAACAAAGAGAGAGAATCAGATTCAGCAATTTTTAAAATTCTTTTGAAACTATGCTGTGCTAATACACTATGCTAATTGCTACCCATCAAATTTCTGTCAGAGGGAAAATTGTTTAAAAGCAATGCACTCCAAAAAAAAGCCCAAACATGGTAGGGCTGAAACTTAACCCTTTGACAGAAGCCTTGCTAACAAGGGAGTTACTTCAATTCCTTACACACAACTGCATATATTAATAGCAAATAAATAAATACGAACAAGCACTGGTTTTCTATGCCAATTTACTCTCCTTGTGTACTGTTAAGTTCAACTCAGGAATCTTTTTAAAACTATGAACAGGTAAACAGAGAGCTCTAGACTCTGCAGTAACACAAGGAGTGAGACCTCCTAAATCTCTGCAGCAGTTTCTTTTGCCACCAAGAGAAACCTTTAAACGCATTCAGAGTTGACCTGCAATTTAGCAAATCTTGAAGCCACTGCAAACTACCTGGTGTACTCAGTCAAAGCATTTTAACTACTCCCAAGAATTAAAGTAGGCATTACACAGAACAATACCAAATGACATGTAACTTTTCAATTAAAAATAAAGAACTAAAATACCCAGGAAAGTGACAGCAGCTCACCACTGCAACAAGTTTGTTCTGTATCTTTCCTTGTTACTCAAAGAAATGCTTATGCTAAACAAAGAAAGTGTTATTAATTCTCCTTATAATGTTTATTAAACTACACTAAAATATAGCAGCTCCACACCAGACCAAGATCCTAAGCTGTAATATTCTTTCAAAAAACAGACACTTGGTGCAACATGGCATAAAATCTGGTCCTGCTCCCCTGCCTCCACCATTATAAAAGGCTTTATTTGATTTGCTCATTACAGAAAATACCTCTTCCAAAGATAGATATATATGCACATTTGCATGTGCATGCACATGTGTTATAGGCTATTCAGTTCTTATAGAGACTGACTTCGATAATCACTTCATCAGCTCCTGTAAGGTGTTTGGCAGTTGCAAGAATTCCAGGGATCAGTACAAGCCAACATCCCAGCCATCCAGCTCTAAGCAGGGCCAGCATCCATTTTAAGCTACAAATAGCTATTAAAGTCAAATGTTTATTCAAACACCAAAGCATCTCAACTGGGCAGTATATCTCACATGGGAACCCTTTAATAATGCTACCATAAAAGTAAATTGTCAAGTAACTAAGAGCTAAGGAGCCAGGATTATACACAGCCAAAGACAAAATCATTATAATTAAAGCTTATCTCATTAGACATCAGATATTCTGACTATATTTTTATTGCAGTAAGTCCGTGCAACTCATCACAAAGGCAATTTAGTACTGGGTTGACTAGGCTGTTAGAAAACTGAAAAAAACAACAAATGAACAAACAAACAAACAAAAAAACCCTGAAGAAGTGTCTTACTGAGTAAAGGATTTTAAGCCGTGATTTTATTTTAAGCTTAACTGTGGCGTAGCTGTTTCTGATAAGCAGAGTACATGATTGCTGCTTAGCAAAGTCAAGTCAACTGCAGACACAAGTACGTATTGCAAATGCTTGCACTAATTATTAAAACTTCCTGAGTTTCCAAAGATCCAGCTTCTAGCTGTTCACACATGTAAACTGAAAAAAAAATTTTCCAGCTAATGGGATCACTTCAGTAGTGCTTCGATTACCATGGACTTCCAACAACTTGCCACAGAAGTTAATGTCAGGAAACTACAGGATGAGACCAAAGAATGAAAACCTTCTGTATTAGCATCCACTGGAAGGTTCTCTAGAAACAGCAGTTCTGGAAACAGTTCCACACACAAAACCTGCCCCCGGTTTCTGTGTTATTTCTATGGGTTTTGAATCATATACTCCTCTAAGGCATGTTCTTTCTTTCACTCATTGCCTTGTAAAAGACTCATTAAAAAAAAAAACAACCCCAAAACAACAACAACAAAAACCAACCAAGGAGAGAAGCACTGACTAAATCGACGATACAATGATAGAGGCTGCATCCATAGCAAACAAAGGGTGAAAACTTCAGAGCCGCAGCCTTCCAAGTTCTTTGTGATAACAGGAAGCAAACTGTTTTCTTATAGAAGTAAACAACATCCTGACTTCACATTACCTACCCATGAGCAATGAAGTAAGAAAAGCCTTCCTCACCGAGGGGACAGACTTTTAACAACTGCTTTAATGCCTCACCTCGGACGAGGGAATCTCCTCAGCAAGCGACCGAGGCAGGGGAAGCCTGGAAATCGCTACTCAGCGTCTGAAACAGAGATGCTGAACCTTTTTCGATAAACCCCACAAAATTAAAGAGGCACGTTGGCTGGTAGGAGGGGAAGAAAGGGGGGCAGCGCCCCCAATTCCACCCCCCACTCCCCCTTCGGGCTGCCCCGGTGGCGACCAAGGCTAAGTTTGGCTGAGAGGAGGAGAGGGGACGAGGGGGAAAGGAAAGGGGTCGGAGGGGGGAACAAGGCCCCCACCCCCCGCCAGGCTTTCCCCTCGCCTACCCCATCCCCCCAGCCCCTTCCCTCTCTCCTGCCGCCTCCCCCCAAGCCCTCTCCCTGCCTCCCCCCTCTCCGTTCTCTGCCTCCTCTCCGTCCCCCCCGTCTGCCTCCGCTCTCGCCCCGCTGGGGGAGGAAAGAGGAGGCCCAGCGCACTCACCTCTCCTTCTCCTCCCCTCAGCTGTTTACCACTCAGGGCTCCTCTAGCCCACAGGGCGCCGCCATCTTGGCCCTGCCTCCCCCTCCCCCTCCCATTCAGAGACCGCTTCTCCCCTCGAATCCCTCCGCCGCAACAAACTAGTCCCACCCCGCCACCTCACTCCCCTTTCTCCCGACGCCCCGCCGGTCTCTCACCGCCCCGCTCGTCTCTTACCCCTCAAGGGCCTTTCTCCCTCGTGGGGGTGGGGGAACAGGGGTGGGGTAAAGGCCGCCGCGCCCACCCTGATCCCCCGCGGCGGAGGTATCTGTGGAGCGGGAGCGATGCGGCCGCGAAGAGGTCGCGTGATGCGGGGCGGGGAGGGGCGGTGCCGCGCGGAGCCCCGGGCGGTGGGGACGTCACGGGGGGCGGGGCCGGGCGGCGGCCGGTAAACAAGGCCCGGGCTGAGGGGATGGCGGCGGCGGGAGGCGCAGGGGATGGCGAGCGGTCGGGCTGGGTCCTCGCCACCCGGCCGGTAACGGCCCTGTGCGCTCCCTGCTGCCCCTCCGAGCTCGGCCGTGGCGCCTCGGGACACCGTGTGCCTCAGCAGGGCCGCCCGCGGAATAAGGCCGGCTGAGGCAGCCGCGGGCCGCGCCGGCAACACGGTTCCAGGCTCCAGCCTGAAAGTGGTTTTTGTGGTTTTTTTCTTTTAAGCGCGTGAATGTGGTGAAAGGGAATAAAAAGCATCTCGGAGGGTGGCGGTGTGCGTGTGGAGTGGCGTTACGGGGCAGCCGTGTGTGCCGTGAGGGGAAGCTCCAGGCACCCAGAGCTTAATTGCTCTCTGCTTGATGAATATGCAAAGCTCCTTCCATTCTTCCTACTTTGGACCCCGTAGCGCTTCGTGCACACCATGGTCAGGGGCTATTTCCTTTGCTAAAGTGCAACAAGTATACCATGTAAAACATTTCATCCTTCCTTCTAGATAGGGTTTGTTTTTCCTTGTGGAAAATCCAGAGTTTAGGGAAGAAGAGTGGAAGTTACCCTCCAGGCAGGTTCTCCAGCCTCCGGTTGTGTTTGTCACACCAACAGGTTTTCAACTCAACGTTGGTCCCCAGGCTGGTGGGGTCTCGGCGTTTCTCATCCCCAAGGAGGGACAATTGGGAGAGGATGCACCCAGGGCACTCGGCAAACTCCTGATCAAACTCTTCAAACTCCTGATCAAACTCTTCAGTCCGTGTGAATAGTCCTCAGATGCCAGTAGGAATCACGGACGTTAAACTTCCAAGGTAGAAACTAGGTGTAAGAAAGTAAAAGCAGTTCAGAACCCCATCTGAGACACGTCAGTTGATTTTTAACTTCTGGGGCATTAGTTGTGGTGCCTCTCAGCTCTCAGCCCTGCAGGGCTGAGATGGTTCCTCCACGCTGCACCTGCAATAGGTCATCCTGCCTCTGGATGAGACACAGTGGCTCGGAGCCAGCCTGGTTTTAATCGTGCACGGCAATTAATACTTCGCGCAGTCTGGACTGAGGGATGGCATTTTTTTTCCCTGCTGTGCAGAAGACATGTTTATTTAATCTGCCACAGAAAAGAGTGGAAATTAGGATGAGCTTCAGAAAAGAGCTGGAAGCAATTAGTCGTGTTATTTTACTGTGCCTTAATTACCGTAACATTCAAATTGACAAAGAAAACATGGATGCTACAGGAGTGGTTGGCTGCTAGATTTGAAAGGGAGGGCGACTGCATTAGAATGAACACGATGTGCTATAATTAACCTGTTTATTATTACTGAGTTAAACGTTTAATAATCAATTCACTTAGGATGCAGTAGAGCATATGCTGTAGGAGAACTCACAGCAATACACAGAAGGAAACTGTCCTCAGAGGCAAGCAGAGCTCGCTGTGGGTCAGGGCTGGTTTGAGCCTATGTGAGCCCAGATAAGCCCTCTGCAGCTCTCTGTTCTCTGCTGCCCCTGAAATAAGAAGATAGAACAGGGAAAATTATACCAACAGGAAGAGCATAAAATAAGAATGACCACACGGGGTCAGCTCAAAGGTCCCTCTCGCCCAAAACGCGTCTCCAGCGCTGTGGGGTTTTTGTTCAGCTGGTTATATATCTCCTTTTGCTGGCGATTTCAATGGAGAGGGGAGGTGACAAGTTTAACAGAAGCCATAAACAGAAATCTAGGGAAGAGTAGGAACACAACAAGCCAAGGCGATAGCTGTCTGCTCTCCCATCCTGCAACTATTTGCTCCGTAGGAACTAGCTCCTGAAATAAAATAAAGACAGAAGGGGTGAGTGAGAGCTGAACCAGGCACAGTGGCGTCCCCATCTCTCTTCAGGCATTCTGGTGTAGTGGTGGTAGTGATAGTCCTAAAAGAGAGAATCTGTTCCCATTGGCTCAGTGAGCGGTTTGTATGCAGTTATACCTGGGCTTTGCAAGGGGATGGCTACTTGGAGAAGCAGAGCAGCTGTTTCCAGATGTTTTATTTGCAGCTGTTCTACGCATAGGAAGGGGATGGCTACTTGGGGAAGCAGAACAGCTGGTTCCAGATGTTTTATTTGCAGCTGTTCTACGCATAGGTTACTGACACTGGGAGATGCAGTCACCCACCTCCTGCAAAGGACTGTGCCCAGAGCTCTTTGGAGCACCTCTCAAATCAGCTAGTTGGTGAGGTTTTACTGAACATGCTCTTAGATTTTTTGCATAACTCGTTTTTCGTAGGGGTTTTTTTTGTGTGGCTTACTATTTTTTCCTGTCTCTAGTTTAAGAGCCACATTTTGCAGCCATTTGCACTTTATGTCAACGGGAAGCCTGTGCTCAGGGGTGCTGGCAGAAGCCGGCTCCAATGTTTCATAAAATAACATCTCAGTCCTTTCAGCAGCTTGTCATTTTCCTGTTTTGTTTAATTCCTGTAACTGTCTTCATACCAAACCCTGAAGCTGCAATGTACATTTTAGTTTTCTGTTACAATGCTTGTTTTTGTAGCGGGAAATGTAATCCTGCAAATGCCTGTGTTTAAGGGGATGCAAATCAGCTTGCTCGCACAATGCCTTGGGAACGTTTCTTTCATGCAAAACCCAGCTAAATAAATAAGGAGGGGAGGGCGAGGGAAAAGGGATTGTTTGCTTCTATAAACAACGAGAATTAATTACGTTCAGTAAATGACAGATGGGTTAAGATCAAAATCTGAATCTTTCTCAATGTGGGTGAAATCTACTCTCCTATCTCTGAGTTGCATCAAACCCCATTGCGTGGCCCGTCCGGTGCCATGGGGCAACGACAAGAGCTGTGACTTGTGGCTGTCCCAGCAGAGAGCTTCAGGACCAGCACGCCTGGCACCGCCGTGGCAGGATGCAGAATACCTCTGCTAGGAATCTGAAGGGTCTCTGGACCCTCATCTGCTCCATCAGGGCAACACCACCCACCCTGTCGCAGGGCACAAAGAAGGTGCTCCCAGTGAGCAGAAAAACTCCATGATATAAAGGCATTTCTCCAATGGTGATATCTCAGTACTTGGCACCTGGCAGCTGGGTGTATGCTTATACACATCTTAAATTATACACCTCTGGGAAGGTATCTTTGCTTCCCCATCCCAGCCTTCAACATAGTGGGCTCTAAGTGCAGGAGGGAACAACCGAGGGCACGCACAGCTCATGTCACTGTGCACTTGCACAGTCAGGGAGATTATGAAAATCAGAGAACAGTTGAAATCAAGGAATTGTTCCCCACTCCTAGCATTTGGGGACAGCAGCTCCCCTTGTTTGTCCCCAAGTAAGAATAATTTGCAAGGATTCTCCAAAGAAAATCACTGCTCGCCAGCTCCTGTTCCCAATTCTCCTAAAGAACAACTGGGTGATCTGAGAAAAGTCACTTGGCTGCGTTCTCCCTCCTTCCACCCTGCCGTTTCCAGGGGGTTTGGCAGTCAATTATTTCACATTTGCAAACCCATTTTCAAACCTTTTTTGAAAGCAAGCGATAGAAGTGCAAATTCTTATTATTGCTCTTGAAGAGCTTTTTGCAAAGATGCTTGTTAATGAGCTTGCTTAATGAGCTTTCCTAAACGTATATTTATGTCCTATATACAGCTGTATATAGATAGAGCCATGCCTAAAATATATATGGATTGCACACACACACACGCATAGGAAAATGAAGGCTGATTAACACACATCTTTTTCAGTCATTACTGTGCAAGTATTTATTCCTTTTTCCTTGGAAATTGGAGAGATAAAAGATCCATTCTGGAATAAAATAATTTTGTGCATATGTGCGAGATGGTTTTGTTTATGAGCCTGAAGTGTGTGAGTGTGTGTGAGACAGATGGTGTGTCTGTTTGTGAAAGATACGATGTGTGGATGAATGTGTGTAAAAATACAGGTTTCTTAAGAGCTTTTTTTTTTTAAAAAAAAAAAAAAAAAGCAGCCAAAATAACAAATGCCTGCTTGCTACATTATTTCCCTGTGTCATGCTCTTTGTCAATATGACAGAGGAGTATTCCTGCAGAAGGCAAAGCTGCCCCAGAAAGTGAAGGGTGCTGCCCCTAGGGTTTCGAGCTGGGCATCGTGAATTCTCTTCAAGTTTTCAAAGTCCTGGAAAGTTTTGATAAGCAAATACTTTCTGGGCTCTGCTTCTCTATTGGCTGTTTCTTCACCGCCAGATTTTGACACAAATAATCTGATTGAAAAATCAGGGAGGGGATCAGGGGCAGAAAAAACAGAGAGAGAAAAAAGGAGAAGTATCTATTTCAGCAGACTGCAACTAAGTGAAAAAGTGGAAGAGGAGTCCAGAGAGAAGACGACGTCTCGCTTGTCTGGGGAGATTTCAAGGCGAACCCAGTAAAGCAAAGTCCCCCAAACAGGTGATTGATTTACTCTTTTAAACACTTTTAATTTCATTGTTTTTCTCATTTCTCTGATGTTTTTCTAAGCTTTTTCTTCTACTTTGCTTGTGTTTGCAAATATGTAACGTATTCCACTGTGTAAGTCACTTGTCCTGAGGATTTCTTTATGATAATGCTTCACTTAATTGAAATGAGTCAAACCTTTTAAAGTTATAGACCAGATACTTCACTCTCACATGTGAAAATGGTAATAGTCGATCAAAATATAAAAGATGTGACTATGGTCTCAGACACCTGCATCCCAGCAAGCTCCGTGCAGCAGGGGCAGTTTCCAGATGTAGACTTTTTTACTTAAGCATTGAGGAGAGGGTGTGCTATATTTTTTCTTTTAATTGCTCTTTTACAGGGCGAGACCTTTAAATTCAGAAAACAGCATACCTCTGCTGACATCAATTAATCTATGCCGATTTTGCTAGATGACAGCTCAGTTTCTCCTGTTCAAAGTTTTTGCTTCAAATCTATTTTTTATTTTATTATTTTTCCATCCTTTCTAAGTATACGCTGATCAGTGTAACAATTTTTAGCATATGGAATTAGCTATTTATAGATGCCTCTCATCTACCACCAGATTGATTCAATACATTAAGCAAAAAAACAAATGATTTGCAAGTTCACACAGTAAGTGTGTGTATATATGAAGGGGATATAGAATTTGTTAGATTGCTCTATGTGAGTCTATTTATCCATGGAAGCCTAAGGCAAAGTTTGCTAAAGCCAGTGGCGTTCTCTACATCACTAGGAGCTAAATGAGGTGAAGAAACTCTGCAATTATAAACATTTTTTCTAGATACTATGGATGTACAAGCATTTCCATTCCACTTCTTGGACAAGGTTTCCACCATAATTTGCTATCTCTGCCATAAGGTCCATTTGGCCACTCTTACCACAAGGATGAAAAATGTTCTGCACATTTTTCCACTAAAAAAGCCGCATTCAATTTACCTGCACGAAGTACATTTGATTTTGCAAGGGTGGAATAGTGAAAACATGATTAATTTTGTTGTAAAGAACTGAAATTATTTTTAAATATGATTCTATATTTAAAGAGTCATGAATCTGTAAAATCTCTTATTTTATTTGGGCTTTTAGAAACTTAAGATACGGGTTTTGTTCCATTTTGTGCTTTTTTCTTAAAAAATGTAGTCGTCCAAAAGACAAACTGTTCTTTATTTTCGGAAGCTTCACTTTTGCCAAAAAGCAATATTAAGATTTAAATATAAATTAAGCAACATGAAGGAAATAAGCCTCTTTTAGCCTAAAACTTTGTACACTCATCAATTTCTATGAAGACATGTATCAACTGTAAGTTAAAATTAAATATTTCTGCTGAGTGTAGTGGGGGAAAAAGGGTTTAATCTCTTCAGTTAACCTTGTAAATTTGAAAACAGGATTGCTTGAATTTAGAGGAAAATGAAAGCTTTAGAATGGAACTTACACGGTAAATTGGGTTCCTGATTCAGCTTGGCACAATCCTTCGGTCACCTGTCCCAAATACGATGTTCTGTGCTCTGAATTGTCTCTGAAAGAACCAGAGAGATCAGCTCCATAATGTAATTCATCAAAAAAAAAAATAGTTTCGTTCTAAATTGTATCAAAGGACCCAATCCTGCATTTTTGGGTACTGCCGTGCAGGGAAGTGGGAGTTGGGGCTTCACAAGGAACATAGGATCAAGTGAAATTAGGATCCTGAATTCAGAAAACACCCCCTAAAAAAAAAAGAATAATAAAATCACCCTTTAAATTTGGTTCTTGCACAATCTGCAGTGTTCCAGTATTACATTATGGTTTTACATGTGATACTCTGCAAAATCACCAGAGAGCATCACTGAGGATGATGGAACTTTGAGTTTGATCAGAGGAGGGAACCTGTGAATGCTGGGTCCCCTTTCAGATCTGACAGGAATTTATAGCCAGTAAAAGAAGCCCTTCCGAGGTGCCTGCAGTGAGGTACCCAAAATAGTGAAGCAGGCTTTTTTCCCTGGGGTCCTTTTGGCTGTCTTTTCCTCAGGGTAGATTACTACAACATTATTGTGCAGCTACATGAGTGGCAAACAAATAAGAATATCAGTTCAAGCCAACTACTGATTTTATATTCTGACATTTATATTTTGATTTTATATTTTTATATATATCCAAAAAATGCCATGACACTTGCATTTGCAGCAGGCACTCCTGCCCAAGCAATGAACTCCCGTACACACTCGCCACTCCAGGTGGAAACCACTGCCACAGGGGCTGGCAAAAACAGATTCCATAAAAATAAATTTTCATTATTAGCAAAAGGTTGACGCTAAATTCTGTTGGAAGCCTCAATGACTTTAAGACATAGCGGGGTCTGTTGTCCATAGCACTAATTTCCCTGTGACATTTAGTTAGCCATTAATAGCAGCTGATCACTCGCTACTGATAATCTTAAGTTTCAAGGAGAGATAGTATTTTTTCCTCTCACAATCTGTGCTTCCAGTTTTCCTCTAACCTGGTTGTGTGAATCACAAAGACAGCCCAATGCAGTTGTTAATTAACTATGCTTTGGGCTCCCAGTTCCTGTTTTCTCTGTAAAATGGGGTGGGGGAAGGTAACTTCCTTTTGTAACGTTCAGTAGTGCATTAGAGATCGTTGGGCTCAGTAGAGGCTCTTATCAGCAGGCAAGATACTTGACCAAATTTGAGTTTTACATAGGCTGAGGGAAATGCATCCAGAAAAATCCCATTGATTCATGTGCATCTGCTTTCACCTGCCATCAGAAAAGAGGGGCCATACTCAGTGCCTTCGTGTCCTTAGCATGTGGGTACTACCATAAAACACTGCAAGATTGCTTACGCCACCCATCTCCAGTCCTCTAATTGATCTGGCAGAGCTGGTGGGTGAATGCCATGGGGTCCTCCAGCCGGTGGGCAGAGGGACTCTTCCAGCAGGCACTGCTGGGTGTGGGCTGTCACCCTGCATTCAGTTACCCACTGCCAGAGCCTCTTCCTCCCCTGCGTAGGAAGCACGGGGAAATGAACTGGTTAATTCAGGCAGAGAAATCAGATGTCTAAAGCTTGCTGGTATGAATACCCTCCATTGTGGACACAGTCCTGCCCCACCAGATGGGAAAATCCCTTTGACATGAGTGGAAATTCCATGTGTAAAGGGCTTGTGGCAGGACTTTACCTTGGGGCACTTCTATACTGCAGAGCGTGGCTCCACACACAGATACTTCATCTGGGACTCACCAGGAGCAGTGGGACCCTCTGAGCTTAGCACCTCTGCTGGGACATGAGGTGCACAGGCTGAGCAGGGGGACACTGCTAGAAGGATCCTGCCCATCGCAGAACACTCCCGTGTTTGTGCCAAGCTGGAGGCATTTCTGTGCCCACAGCCTTTCTCCAGACAGAGATACACTTTATGGTACTGAGAAAGAACCTCATTAGAGAGTTACAGAACAGTAAATACAGCAATGTACTTCAGCATCCCTTCCCTCAAGGGCATACTTATGGTTCATTCTCAGTACAGTTTTGTCCTCTTTCTAAAATTAAATTAACAAATCTACTCTTGGCCTCTGTTCTCTCTTACTCATCTCAAGTTACATGCAAGTTTCTTGGAAAAAGATGAAGAAAAACAGGTGAGTCATTTCAGAAGAAGAAAAATGGCTAAAGACACCAAGAGTTATCCCTGAAGTCATGGAAGAAACAGTGGGAATCCTGGACCAGATTAAGAAAAACAGCTATAACTGCATTTACAAAGGCAGCTGGGCTGGTGAGCACTTGAGTGTCACCAACAACAGTGGGTGGGCAATCTAGCTGTCTGTAGCACACCCTGTTGTGTGAGTCCCACCATACATGTACCTACAACCACAGGCACCACTGTAAATGTAGCCCTGGGACCTTTAAACAGAGCACCAGTGGGCTCTGTAATTGTGTTTAGCACGTAAGGGTGCTGCAGGCACTTCTGAACCCTAAGGAGCAGACCTTTTCCACCCCTGGCTGTTTGAGATTCCAGGAACCCAACACTGCTCTGTCCTGACTTACACAGACACTTCAGGTCATTCCTACTTTACAGGAGCAAACTGTGCTCTTTTTTAGTAAATAAAGAAGCTCTTCAACTGCTCTTAGGAAAAAAACCCAACATTTTCCCATCAACAGAGAACCAGGACTTACTGCTGACTTTTCATATGAAATATGGCAAGATTTGTTTTTAGTGCTACTATCCTGAACAATTACAAGGGAAAATGCAAATACATATGCAAATAAGGCGCCAGCTGATGTTGCTGTAGACAGCACAGAGCCTGTTGTCACACTGCCTACATGAGGACAGTTACGAGCCATGGGGAGTGGGCACAGGGCGGGCTGGGTTCTGGGCTGTAAAGATAACACATGCATTGCAAGAGAATTTTGTGTGATTAAATTTCAGCATTTTATGTTTGTTCCTAACCCGTCATTTCAACGGATATTTGAGCCAGATCCAAAAGGTAACCTCTCTCAGCCAGCACTTCTGCTCTGTCTCTGCTTGACTGTTGTTTGTCAGCCAGAATACAAAGTCCCCAAGCCATGGCCAACAAGAAGGAAACCCACCACACATCATGGCTGCAGGGATTTTCCATTGCGTCTCTCCTATTATTGGTGTTGTTTCTATAATTATTATTTGTGTACCAATTTCACAGAGTCATGGTTTGGGACTATGCTCTTCTGCGTATGGTACAAGCACTAAGAAAGAGTCTTTCTCCAAGGGGTGATCTCCAACCTTTGGTCCCCACTGCCCCACTCAGGGAGGGTAAGGTCAGAGATGCACTGTGTCCTGTAGCCAGAGCAAAGTGCTACAAGAGACAGATTCTGGGTTCTGATGTATCTTTATCAGAGAAACAGTTTTGGTCTGTAACACAGCGCTCAATTTAAGCATGTCTCTATTTCTCCACCTACAATATGAAGACAGTAGTAATCCTTTGCCTCAACTTTTGGGTAGATTATGAAGTGCAATTTTTACCAGTAATACTGTGATCTGCAATCTCATCTTCAAAATGCATTCCCCGCTCAATTTAAGCATGTCTCTATTTCTCCACCCACAATACGAAGACAGTAGTAATCCTTTGCCTTAACCTTTGGGTAGATTATGAAGTGTAATTTTTACCAGTAGTACTGTAATCTGCAATCTCATCTTCAAAATGCATTCCCATCTCTACATTCAGTGGCAGAGACAATCTGGCAGTAAGGTATTTTGCTTAGCCCTCTCCACACTGCCTGCTCTCCACCTGGGTGGAGGGACCTTTGAGGTGAACTCCATAGTACAAGGGTTTTAATTCTCATCACTGCTGTGTACAGATCTGACATGCTGGGGGGAAAAAATGTGGAATTACCCCCAAAACCAGAGATTTACCTGCCATTATTCTGTGTTTCTGCCCAGGCAGTGAATGGAAAATGCCACGTTCCTTTTTGGTGAAGAGCAAAAAGGCTCATACCTATCATCAACACCGCTTTGTGGAAGATGACCTGCCTATACTCACATGGGATCCAGTAACCTCTCCCTTCGCTGGTGAGTCTGTCCATCCACTGGGCTTGTAAGAATACACCAAGGCACATCAATAATTGAGTAGGCAAGCTAAGGGAGTAGGATGAGTGAGCTAAGAGCAACTAAGGGCTTCCACACAGGGATATCAGTCTAAGGACAAACCAATCCTCTACCATGTGCCCTGTTTCTCTAGGAAAAATCCACATTGTCTCACTGAAACTGAATTTAGATCCTTCTTTTGTTTCCTGCTGGGTTGCTGGGGAGATTTGAGATATAAGATTGCTGTGTGGAGTTGGTCACTTTTGGGAAAGATGGCCAACTTCAGGCAACTAAAGTCAGGGAAAAAAAGCTTGCACTTGATTGTCAGTCTTCTACAAACTCATGGCTCTGCCACCTCGGTCTCCAGCTTGCTGTGTTCACTGCCCACATTCTCTCTGGACCTGTATCTTCTCTACCTCAGTGTGTTACCACCTCCTCCTGTTGATTTGCAAGGAATGTTACAGCTAGAGAGAGAAGATACTAGTGATACCCTGACACTGTGAAAGGAGTCCTACATGCTCACAGATGAAGGGCCAGCTGCTATATGCTGTATTAACACAAACCAAAACTGCTTCTCTCTATGCCTGCTGTCCTCCCTCTGTTCCTGTTCTTGCTCTCCCACAGCCATTCACGCAGTGGCAGGACCAGGGCAATTATCTTCTACCTTCAGGCACCATTCAAATTTTCTTTATTCAAATCTAGGATCAATTTACCCTTTGTTCTAACCCTGGCTATCAAATTAGAGTCCAGCCCTATGATAAGTTTGATAAAAAAGAAAGGAGGTGACATTTTCATTTCAATTCCTGCTGTTTTCTTTTGGCCCTTTTTAGTGTCTCACTGGCACACAAGAAGGTTTGGACAGATGAATTCTGTCCTTCAGCATCTTAGTCCCATCTCCAGCAGAAAGGAGGCACATATATTGAACCTCTGTCCACTTTAGATTCTTACTATAAAGTCTACTCATAACAAGTGCTGGTTGGTCTCTTTAAGGGCTGG